GTGAGTGAGTCATCGTATATTCAGAACTTGGATCAAAGCCTTGGATCAAAGGTCAAAGAGAAACTATAGATATGTTTATAAATATAGACAAAGATCAAAAGACAACCACAACTCACTATTGTGAGAATTTGTCCCCTTTCCCTGGGACCGGGGTTCCCCTCCGAGCCACGCGAGGGCAGCAAAGCGCCCATTCAATGAGGGCGCTGTGGTTCTCCCAGAACTCGGTGGTTCCTCCCAGAATCCTCCGAGGCGGCGGAGAGGTTTAAAAGAGGGTGCGGACTTCCGCTCCTCAACGGGAGGGAGAGCGCCTTGGGGTGCGGGTTGTGTGTTTTGTGTCGTGGTGTCGCGTGGAAGGCGTGTGTGGGCCGAGTGTGTGAGTGGACGCGTATGTGAGAGCGCGTGGGGCGTGCAAGGTGAGTGCGTGCACTCCCCCCCTTGGCCTCTACTCCCGCCTACACATTGATCTTATTTGATCGGGTTGTGACCCCAGCCCCGCCGGGCGGACCCGAAATGAAAAGCTCCCCTCCTGCGAAGCCCTCTCCTCGGGGCGCTGTGCAGCGAGGCCCCTTGGGCGGCGGTAACGCCGCGGTCCCGGAGGTCCCGGAACCGGTCCTACGGGGCCCGGCGCTCAGAAGTGATGAATTGATCAGATAGACGAGGCCAGGCTTGTCCCGGGCCGCTGATTATCGAGGCGATTCTGATCTGAGCCCGGCCCCAAGACACGGCCGCCCGCGGCGTGGGGCTAACGCGTTAGCGGTCGGCGGAGGGCGAGGACGGAGGGTGAATGAACTGTCACCTCGCCCGCGGAAGCGGGAGCGGAAAGGAGACGGAGGCCTTGCTCTTCCCTAGCCTCCCTTTTTTCCTTTAGGCCCGCCTTGTCACGTTGACTGTATGGTACCCACACTGGTAGCCCCTGGCCTAAAGGCACTATACAGCATCTGCCGCTAAGGGATATAGGTATATATGCATGTCTGTGTGTATATGTATCTGTCTCCAGAAAACTTGGAGAGCGTTTAAGAATTCAGATTCCAGGGACCTGCCCCACATTTACTGAATCAGAATTATCAGGGAGGTCTAGGAATCTATTTTTAAAAGCCTCAATGCATGAATCACAGTAATAAATTTTTCGATGTTCAGTATCAACCTTCATGAGGACTATCCAGAGAGTCACCCCTCTGCCATTTTCATCCATTCTAAATAATAACTGAAACTTTATATTGCCACTAGGTAGCAGATACTGTCTGAAGAGATTGGAGTATCTCTTTGAAAGAGGGACTGTGATAGTTGATTTCAGGATCCTGCACTTGAGTACCAGGAAGAAACCTTTTCCTATCTGAATTATTCGACTATGCATTTGCTGTTCAAACTTAGAAATGGGAAATGGGAATTTAACCATACAGTGTTCTAGAAAGTCTGCCATTTCTTGTCCAATATTACAGCACGTTCCTATCAGTGACTTGTGATTTTAGAAACCACATTAAAGCATCATTTTTAGGTAACTTCAAACCCAAGCACCAGATTGTTGACCCAGGTTTATAAAAATCAGCACAAACTAACACACACAAAAAAGGACTTGACCTCTGGCAAGGAGACAGTAGCAGAGTTAGAGAATGAACAATGGCAAAAAGCCAGGACCGGGGAGATGAAGCCCTCATGGAAAAGTAGGGCCCAGTAGATGACTATATCCAGGAAGTGGGAAATCTGTTAAGTGTAACAGCATAAATATTAACGCTACGTAGAGCTGCCAAAATTACAGTGACTACAAGTTCACTAAGACAACGGGCTCTGTCCATTCCTGTTTCCCCAACACTTAGCTCAGTGCCTGACACAAATGTTTGCAAGAAATGTTGAATGGATATATCTGTATGGTTGGAATGACTCCTGTTTACAAAATATGAATACCTGCCTCCAGCCGAAAACTGCTATTCTGTCCTAAATCCTTATCTTTTCAGCAAGATGCCTTTCCAAGTTGCGAATATGCCCTACAGGACTAGTTTCTAGAAGTTCAGAAACAACCCCCTCCACCCCCCAGCTCCCCACCCATATTTTAAGAGTAGTGTAGTGGCAACTCAGTCCATGGAGAACAGACACTTCAGGCTTCACGTTGCACAAATCTATTTAATGGAGATGGGTGGCAGGATGTTGCACTATGATTAATCAGTCCTGGAGCCTGTCAACACTAGGTGGAGAAGAAGCCACCATCATTCTTTCTGGAGTAGCCTCCATTGGTGGCTGCAGTGTGAGGGGACACTGTGGAGAAAAGGAGTGGGCTGTGAATTTCAGATCCTTTGCCTTTTCTGGGAACCTGTAATCATCATATATGTAATTCACCTATGGAGAAGGTTCTTAGGACAGCTGGGAGGTAGCTATGGGTCTTCCTGAAAAATTGAATTCATTCCATAGTCATCATGTCCCCCGATATCCCTAATTCATGGGTCCATTTAGAAAATCTAGCACCACCCGTCTGCCCTTCTAACTCTTACCTATAGATCCCTGGATGCTGTGGATGGAGTCCTTCTTAGGGTTGATCCAGTGTCTGATGTTAGCTTGGGAAGTGATGGAGGATGTTGGGGAAGGCGAAAGTCCTCCAGGTGATTGGATCTTCATGATTCTAGATGATGATAAGGGAAGAACAGGAAAGTGAAACCAATCAAAAGGAGACAGGTAAAGAGGGAAAGACAGTTGCATGCAACCTCAGAAATGAAGTAACCAAAGGCCTTTTTACCCTTTGGAATAAATGGAAAATTTCGTTTGATAATACAGATGAGAACAATCTTGGAGGATCTCTGTTCATTTCAGATAATAAAAAACATCATTTCCAGGTACGGATGTAAAAAATACAGAAATCTATACAAAGAATTATATTTCCCAGGTGACACTTTGCCGCATGTGATTTGATGGCATTATCCTTAGGGTGGGGAGGCTGTGCCTCCACCACTTACGCATGGGTATCCTGGATGGTCTCCTGGTGTATCAGGATCTCACTTTTGTTCTTGAACGCCCCCATGTGGTGGTCGTACAAGGCTGCTAAGCGGAAATCCAGGTCATCTTTCGGTATCTACAAAGAAGTCAGCTCCAGGGTTAACACACCACCTCTGCCCCCTCCTCCACCCACTCTAATCAGACTCTCTTGGGCTCTACTCTTGCCCAAAAGCAGAGTGAACCCCTTGAGGGCCTGAGATCCACCAACTCCTTACATACCAAACTATACACGGTGACTCTTGTCAATATGGAGTTCTCTCATGGTTAGGTTTAAGGAGTAGTGAGCTCTCCCTGTCCACGTGGAATCACTATTCTGTCCCTGACTTGGGCTTAATGGGCCTTCTCTCATTCATGGTTATATTCAGCCTTTGTTTCAATAAGAAGAGAGAAGTTTGGTGAGAAAATGATTTGCTCCAGATAACAGACTGGTGCAAAATTCAAGCCTTCTGACTTCCCAGGGGCCAGATAAATTGGTATTTGGTTTTAGATTTGGTAGCATCTTGGATCTTGAATTGGGGACCAAAAGAAAGACTCTAAAGCGGTCAGGGACAGACTACCTTTCAAAGAGGATATTAATGAGTCCTAAAGAGAGGTAAAGAGAAATAGCATTTCAATGTTAGGTACCTCAGGGTCAAAAAAATAAGCATCCCGCCTCATAGAGGTGATCGTAGGAGTTGAGTTGAGCCGACTCCAGGGTTCCTGTTGCTGAGCAAGGTGAGTTGGGTTCTTATGTGGTGATTTCTGCAAAAGATAAACCACACCCAGGACCTGGTTACCTGGTTACAGGTCCTTGCTGCTGTGGAAGCATCAGTGACATCCATCCCCTTAGTCCATCTTACTTTTTGTTTATTGTTTCAAATTATTTTTATTTATGTATAGTTGGAATACAATGTTATATTAGTTATATTAGTTTCAGGTGTGCGATATAGTGATTCAACATTTTTATACCTTATAATGTAATCATCTGTCACTATGCAAACTTACCATAATATTGAGTATATTCCCTCTTCACATTTTTCACCTATCCTCCCATTCCCCTCCCCTCTGGCAACCATCCTTTTGGTTTCTGTTTCTATGAGTATGGTTTGTGTTTTTAGATTTGACATATAAGTGAAACCATATGGCATTTGTCTTTCTCTGACTTATTTCACTTAGCATAATACCCTCTAGGTCTAGCCATGTTGTCAAAATGTTAAGATTGTATTCTTTTTATGGCTCAGTAATATTCCATTGTACATATGTACCACCTCTCCTTTATCCAATTGTTTATCAATGGATACTTATGTTGCTTCCATACCTTGACTATTATAAACAATGTTGCAATGAACACCGGAGTGCATATATCTTTTGAAATTAGTGTTTTTGTTTTCTTCAGATAAATACCCAGAAGTAGAATTCCTGGGTTGTATGGTAGATCTATTTTTAATTTTTTGAGGAGCATCCTATTTTAATTGAATCTCAGAGGAACATCTTCAAAGAGAAGAACTATGGGAGGCAGGACTCTGCAGGCTTTTGATCCTTCCAAGTCTTCAATCTTGGAACTGACAGAAATGGGCCAGGAATACGGGTGTAGTGGGATGGGGAGGGAGGAGCAGATAGAGAAGATGATGAGCTCAGGTTTAGATGTCCTGAGTTTGAGGAAAAAATAAGACATCCTAATACGATTAATACGCAGAAAATCAGAAGTGTGCAACCTGTTGGAGGAAAGCTCAGGCCGAGTAATAGAGATGGAGGGCGGGGGTTGTCCACATGAAACAGTGGCTGAAACCTGCAAAAAGGAGTGTGGCCAAAAGGGAAGAAATGGCTCATAACTGCACAATACTATACCTGGGGGAGGGGAAGGGAAAGGGAAAGGACAGTAAGAGGTAATCAGAGAGAGGAGAATCAGGGAAGTGCAGTGTCTAAGCAGGTGAGAAAAAGACTTCAGCAAGCAGGAAAGGGTCATTGTGACTGCAGGAACATCAAATAAAAAGGTCCATTGAACATTCAATCCTCTAAATAGAACCTCATAAGCATGGATGTGGAAAGCACGAAACTGATTTTTTCATTATGTGTAAAATATTGATTGCCACTGTGTCCCTAGTACCCAGCACAGCAACCTAACATGTGGTGTTCAAAAATGAAGTACTGATCAAATCCATTACTGAATTCCAGTGAGTACAACTACAACCTAGTAGAAATCTCATTCATCCTATCTGATGTTGGAACCATCTCCCTGCCCGCCCCCACCATATATGTCAAAATGCTGTGTGATTCAGCTGAGTTAGACATTAATTGAATAGTATGTATGAGGCACTATGCTATCAACAAGAAAGATGCAAAATGAAACGAGAAAATCACAAATATACGTGATATAAGCATAAGCAACTCTCCCATTCCCCGAAGGCTACATAAGCCTCATCATCTCTATCAGAAAAGGATGAGATTGTCTTTCACCAAGAAAGTCTAGCATGAAAGCCATCTTCCCACCCACTTTCTTTCCATCTCAGAGAAAGGGAAGGCCCTTTTACTTCTTCCCTGAACCCAGCCCTTCCCTGTGCCTCAGAGATCTGTACCATCCTGGCACTCCCTGTACCCAGCTTCTCATAACTTTATCACTGTGTAGCTACCACTCTATCACCTTTCCTACAGAGCCAGACTCTTCTTCAAGAGTCAACATTTACGATTTCCACTTCCTCTCGCTTTGTATCCTCTCTTCAGTCTGGCTTCTGCCTCAAGCACCCACTAAAACTGCTCTTGCTGATGACCAATGATCTCTGTGGCTAGGTCAAGTGGATCCTTTCCAGACATGATCTTATTTGATCTCTGCAGTTTCTGGCACCACGATTCTGATTCTCTCAAATGTTCTCTCCACCCTCTATGGATCCAGCTCCTCCTGGTTTTTCTCCTGCTTGTAGCTGTTTCTTCTCAGCTCCCTTCTCGGCTTTCCCTCTCTTTTCCTTAGACAGTGGCATTCCCCAGGGGTTTGGTTTCTGCTTTCCTTACTCTCACATTTGCTGGATGAGCTCATTTCCTTCTCTGGCTTCAACCACCATATGGATGCTGTGGCTACCAGATAAATATCTTCAATCCAGAAGTCTCAATCATACTGCCTGCTATTCATCTCCACTTAAATGTCCCACAGGCATCGCACAAGCAATATCTACCTAATTGATTTGAGTATCTTTCTCCCCAAACCTGCTTCCCCTGGATGCCTCATTCAGTAAATGGTATCAATTAAGCCCGCAGAAACCTAGGAGTTACCCTACACTCATCTGCTCTCTTGGGCTCATATCCAGTCAGCCACAAAGTCCCATCATTCTGCCCTTTGCATCTCTCTCACATCTGTACCTTATCGCCATCCCCTGCATCACTGCTTTAGATCCATTATTCTTCCTCCTGGAGATTGCTGCCTCCTGAGGCTCCTGCCTCTTGGCTGATCCTGTTGTGCCATTCCCATCCCACCACTGCCACTTGTGCTTTCTAAAACGCCCATCTATTGTGGCGCTCTAGTACTTAAAATCTCGACGTGCTTCCCAAGCACCTCCGAGAAGAAATCCTAGCTCACCTGCATGGTATACACAGCACACCAGCCCGACAAGGCCATTCTCCAGCTCCTGCGTTCTTCACGCCTCATCACATGGACACTCCAGCCATTCTGGACTCTTTGGCCCCCAAACAAGTCACCCTCTCTCTTCTTTCCAGGTCTATGGATACCTGCTGCTTCCTTTGCCTTCAATGTCTGGTTCCTGTTTCTTGCTTCCTAACTTACATTCCACCTCCTCCCTCACCTGGCCCAGCTAACTCATATTTTGATGTCAAAACTCACCTGCTCTGGGAAGCTTTCCTTTAAGCACCCAGTTCTCCTGACACACTACGTATAACTGTTACAGCATGTGCTACCGTGCGAGCATTTTTGCTGTAGCAATTGTGTCTGGCCTTCCTACTAGAGCTTCTTTACAGCAGGAGCTATACCTAATTTATCTATATATCCTCAATGTTTAGTACCTGGCATATAGTAAATAATGCTTAATAAAAGGAAGCTCTTTGGCTTTGTTATTAAGCCACAATTACTGTCTAATTCACCTTATTTTGTGCTTCTTCAAACATCCCAAACACTTCTACCTAAAAAAGATTTTCTAAATTCTCAAATCACTGACACACATGCACAAACACATTCCGGGATTAACCAGAAGACAGAGACGGTGTGAAGACAGATGTATAAAGCATGACCTGGTGGCTTTCAGAGGGCAAAGTGTAGCTTTGGGTGGGGATCTGGGCCTGTTAAAGTCCCATTATACTCAACACTGCTTAGGGCAGGGAGAGACCCTTGTTCCTCTGGACTACAGTTCGACTTCCCCCTGCTAAAAAGCACTTTGAAACATTAGCAGACTTGAATATGGGGACATGGAGGCAGGCAGGAAACAGACTTCTCTGGTACCTGACTCAGTGTCTTCACCAGTCCTTTAAGTTACCAACTCTGCCCCTCAAGGTGACAGACAAAAGAGTGTCTGCTGGGACTCTGCGCAAGAAACCACAATACCTGGGAAGACTGAAGTTTTCCTAAGTAGGAATCATTGTTATCTGATTTAAGGTGCGGGAAAGGGTCTCGGGTGGGAGGCATAGTAAAAGCCCAGAGAGACGCCCTTCGGAAGGATGGGAGGCCCGCGCAGCCGCACACAACCTTGCACGGGAGGATCCCAGGTCCCAATTGTTTGGAACGCCCACTTTCGGTTGCCATGCAACTGCACCCCTATCTATGACTGAGGTGAATTCCCTTCGAGAAGAGCCCCACCTGGCGGTTCATCGCGGGAAGCGCCTCGAGAGGAAGCTACTGAGAACAGGGAGGGAAAGCGCCGGTGAGCGCACCCAGGAGCTTTGGATTTGCACTGGTGAACCCTAGGAGAAAAACGCCGGTCTGGCGTGCAGAACTTCTGCAAGAGACTTCAGTTGACGAAAGAAGTGCTAAAAGATGACCCATAAATTTCCTTCTGCCTCGCATCTAACAGAAGGTTTTTTTTCCCCTCCAAGCAATAATAGAATGGGGGTGTTGAGAGACTAAGAGCCCACGTGTCGTGCTCGGAAATTGTCGGCTAAGCAAACTCTCCTAGCTTAAATCCAGTTTAACTACACGAGTCTCAAGGCTTCGCACTGAGTCGGTTGTAAAGGCACGGATGGATTTGGCGGGATGGAAATAAGATCTCCAGAAGCAGCTGCCTTTGCAGTAGGTAACACCTACTGGGGCCACTCTTCTATGCTGTAACTTCTAGAAGAGAGACGATGACGTCTCACTCTTCTTTCTCTTGCTTCACACAGAGCAGGGGCGCCACATCTGCAAAATTAGAGATGCTCATAAATAGTCCATGGCCCGAAAGCGCAGTGGAAAACATGAATTTGGTGGCGATGGCTTGGAGGATGCTTCCACCGCGTTCTTTACACGAGCCCTATGCCCGCCTGTTGGGCCGGTTGCAGACCCCAAGCGCGCGCACGCCCAC